AGACCCTTATGCTGGGAAAGATGGAAGGCAAAAGGAGAAGAGGACGGCAGAGGACGAGATGGTTAGAGAGCATCACTGAAGCAATGAGCGTGAAACTGAGCCAACTGAGGGAGGCAGTGAAGGACAGGAAGGCCTGGCGTGATACGGTTCATGGGGTCACGAAGAATCGGACACGATTTAATGACTGAACAACAACAACAAGAAGGCAGATTCTCTCTCAGTGGGAGAACAAATGGTAACAGGAAAAGGCAGTAGACATCTTTACCTGCAGAGGCTCTGGGTGCCATTCTGTGGTTGGGTCCAAGCAGAGGCTGGCATCCCAGCACTGGGTGGGGCGGGGGGGATGGTGACTACTACATAGCCCTCAAGGGCCTCTTCTGACTCAGGGCTTCCATGAGTCTGGAGGGAGCCCTGGGGACCAGGGCAAGCCGGCTCCAAAACTTTCTAGCTGGGCAGCTGCAGTCCTGAAGGCTGCTGGTTTACTTTGGCATCACTGGCAAGGGCTGGGGGGATTTTATGCCTACCATGTTCTCCTAAGTGGGACCGGCGACTTGTTGGTGCTCATTCTAGTTGTCAGCGAGAAGCACCGCTCCCTGTCCCCAGGCAGGGCTGCTCTGTCCCTCAAGTCTGTACGAATGCAAGGAGTGGGTCTCCCGTGGAAATCAGGCTGCTGTGACATCCATGCCAACTTCACGGTGTTTCTCCTGCAGAGCCCTAGCCCTCACCAGCAGCCTTGAGTTGAGCTCTTTCACCGCCTGTGCCCAAGGTGGTCCTTGAGCCAGCTTCATAAGGCGCTGGCAGTCTCTGGAGGGCAAAAGACACCCTCAGGTGTGGAGGGCAGGCATGGGGCAAAGAGAGCAGGCTTGGGTTGCGGTTGTTTTTTGGTGCCGTAGCATTGCTCAGCCTTTTCTCTGCTGCCACCAGCGTCCCAAAACTCCATTTTCCAAACAACCATTTAAGCAGCAAGCGCAAACCACCCACAGCTCCCAAAACCACGAGGTGCAAGGCATGATGCGGCGCTCCAGGCAGCTGCTGGCCTCAGAACCCCGGCTTTGCTGGGGGGCCCTTCCGCCCAGCTCCTCTGGCTGGGTGCTGTGGGGCCTCCTGGCCCCTGAGAGCAGCTACCTGCCAAGCTTTTCCATGGGGGGAGGGCTCAGGGGCTGATGAGCGTTCAGGATGACTCTTCTGACTTCTGTGGAATAAGCAAGGCTTTCAGAGTCTTAAGATATGGACACTGTTACCTCCTTGTCCTGCCAAATTATCTTGAATATACAGAACAAGGTTTTAATAACAAAGGGTGTGACCCTTTGTAGCTCAGCAGGTTGTGTGAACCAGCCAGAAGCTGGTTGACGGGACAGGCATCCTGGGCCTTGCAAATGCCACCGCCAGGGCCCCTCAGGAGGGCAGGAGGAGGACCGAGGACCGAGTCCTTTCCCGGCTGGGGCCTCCCTTCTGCCTCCTTCCTTCTCTTGCCTTCCCTCATCTGGGGCCACCCGAGTTCTCCTTCTTCTCCTCCTGCTCTGGGTGCAGCAGCAGCACATAAACCCCCCGCCCAGAAAGCAAATTTTCCCAGGCTCCCAAGGGTCTTGCTGACCAGGAGAGGTTGAAGCAACGGCCTGTTGCTTAAGAGCCCTCCCGGTCTGGACACTCCTCCCTCCGAGTCTGGACTCCCTCTGCGAGGCTTCCGCCCACTATTCTCATCCTCCCCTTGGGCACTGTGGAGAATAACCCACCCCATCTGCCCCGGGACTGCCCTTCAAGGACCGGAAGACCACTGCCACATCTGCCCTCGGCCTTCTCGCCTTCAGGCTCCACACACCTAGTTCTTCAGTTCCTTTAATGCTCCCTTAACAATAAACGCCTACTCAAAACGCAGCCAACCGTGTCCTTTTCTAGTAACCTGTTTTTTGCTCCCCCACTGCAGGTGCTCAACCTTGCATGCCCACTTGGACACGTTTCTTTTTCTTGAAAGGGACTCCTGTTTTCCTGTAAAGATGTTTGTGTTTCTGCAAACCCCAAGATTTCTCTAAGCATATCTTCCTCCTCTTTCTCAGTGGCCTCCTTTGGGCTGCAGCCCTGCCTGTATCACTGTCTGAATTCACTGCTAGAAGTGAACATATGTCCATGATTTGTAAAGTACCACCCTCAGGACTACCAGCTCTAGTCTGCCAAGAAAGCAGCCAAGCGCTAGATGGGAGCAAAGGTGTACAGAAGCCCTCAGACGCCGTGGTGCCTCGTGGACATCTGGGCATTTGCAGATCTGATGCCCTAACACATGAAAGAGAAACTGTGTCATAAAATGGGAGTCGTGGGTTAAGGAAGCCACAGACTACCGAGAAATTGAGGGACACAATGGAAAATTGATTTTGAAACCTCTATCTGAATGCAAAGAGATGACTAATTTAATAAATGTATTATTAATAATTACATATTAATTATTTCTTCATCTTACATCAATACTCCATGCAGGACAAAGGGCTCTTCATTAAAAGTGATGGGCTGTAATATTCCTTGGGGGTCCAACATGGGTTGGTTCACAGATGTTTTTTGAGCTCCCCATCTAGGGCTGAGAGAGAGGGGCTGGACCAAAGTCACCCCATGCCTTCCATGCTTCAGGGAGGACTCGAGCCCTGTTCTCCCAGCTTCTAGTCCAGCACCTTCACCACTGCACCACACTGGCCCTCCATTAATAACTTGAAGGCTTGTAGAATTCAATGGCTATACATCTTGAAGGAGATTTTTGCAATCCTCAAATAAGCCACAGTTGAAAGCAAAGTCTGAATTTATTCCTTACAAAAAGCTTTTCATTGAAAGGAATCTCAAAGTGGAGTAAAAGAAAGTATTTTTACCTGATGCCCTTGTTCTGAGCAATGCTGTGATGAGAAAGTCTGGACACGGCTGAAATGACCTGATTAAAAAAAAAAAGCAAGAAGAGAAAGTTCAGGCTCAGATGTTTACAATTTGTTCTCTTAACAAAAGACCACACGCTTGAAGCAGTGGCATGAGAGAACTGGCTTCACTTAACCTGTAAAGGGTGTGACCACCTCCTCTGCTGCGTTCTGGTCTGAGGAGGATGGAGTGGCTTTTATGCCAAGAGCAGGACCGCATCACTGAACCTACGTCACCCAGATATTGGAGGCCTCCAGCCCTGATTAAGAATCCACCAGATGCCTGGCTGAAGACTGGCCTTGGACTTCAATCCCCATCATCTCCAGTAGTTTCAAGTCTTTTCTAACCCTTGGGGGGTTTATTAGCATTATGATCACCCAGAGAACCTTCAGCAGAAGTTGGTTAGTAGTGCTCCCCAGTTACAGGCTGCAGGGCAATGGACCATGGGTTAACACGATGTGGGAATCTGACCCATTCATCCTAAGAACTGTTCTCCGACCATGAGGTCAGTGTAGAAACTTCTGAACCAAATGAAGTTGCTTGTAGCACGAGATGTGACTGGACAGGGATGGTCTAGCACAGTGTTTCTCAACCTTGGAAATTTTAAGATGTGTGGACTTCAACTTCCATAATTCCCCAGAATGCTGGTTGAGGAACTCTGGGAGTTGAAGTCCATATATCATAGAGTTGCCAAAGTTGAGACACGTTCCTGTAGCATGCCCCAATACTTTACCCAGGCATATCAAAACTGCCTGGAGATATTCGTCATCATCCCCATCTGTTCGCATCTGAAGAATGCAGCACAGTCCAATGACTCTGCCATCCTCCCTCTTCTTCATTTACCAAAGTGGGGGGTCGTCCAAACCCTCTTCCAGGGACACAAAAGATTGCCAGCAAAGGAGCCGCTCACCTGGGGCTGGCTGGGCTTGTCTCTCTCCAAGAAGATAGAAGAAAAGGAGGAGGAGCAAAATTGCTCCAAGGGGCCCCAAAGAGTTGAGCAAAGGACACCCCAAGTACTGGTCAGCCTCCCCCTTCTCCTCCCTCCAGCCCGGCTGGGTTGCATCCTTCTCTCTCCCGCAGCCCTGAGGTCAGTGAGGCCACTGATCCTGGCCAGGGGGAGGGAGACCTTGTCTTCTTTAAGGGGAATCCAGCTGACCCACCAGCCCTCAAGGGGTGCTGTAACTCTCACCCGCTCCAGCCCCTCTGGCCAAAGGGGGAGTTGCTGGGAACAGGGCGGGGCCCCACAAGATCGGGAGGGCTGCTACCTCTGACCTCCCTTGTCTTAAAGATGACTTAACGGGCAGAAGGAATAACCTTGGAGAATGAGGGGGCAGAGCAGGCAAATGGTTGAAGCCTTGGAGGGGGGAATCTGCATCCCTAAATCCAGTCTCTCTCAAAACAGTCTCCATCTACCCCAATGGACCTTTTCTTAGATGCCCTATATTAACATCAGCACTTGACATGGAGACGTTCCTGTTTTTCCTGGTAGGCTGATCAAACCAGCCAAGCTGAG